GTTATTGCCTTAAGATCACCAGCAAGGTTCATATGAGCATGTGAACGAGCTTTGTGGCTTAATAAGCGGCATTTATCCGACGGCATGTGCGCAAGTTCGGTGCAGTGGTTAGGAGAGAATGAGATACAGAAGCACATAAAAACACAGACAGAGAATGTGTTAAATGTGTGGATTCAAGCCTTGGGTCATGAAGGGAAAGCTTTACCAACATACATCTAGCAATCCGCATACATGGCCGCGCTTGCGCGCCAGTCGTCAGGACATCCTGCAGAAGCCTTTCTAGGTTGCTTTAGAGCTTGCGAACGTTGCGCGTTGTTTTCAGCAATCAAGTGGTTTAAGGTTTAGGGTTTAACTCCAAAACATCCCAAAACAGAAAACCTTCAGACTTGAACTTTTCTGCCCGTCTGGCCGGGGGGACGGCTTGGCCGTATCCTGCGCTGCCGGGGCCTTCTTGTCTCGGGGGGTTTTTATTCCACGTGCCCCAAGGGACACAGTTTTTCCCCCCTGGCAAGAGCTGGAACCTGAGAGCTACCTTCAAAGGTGTAGGCACCATTTGCCTTGTTTTTGATCGACAGGACATGGCGACTGCTGAAGAATGCTACCGACATGGCCTCGAGAGTCCGCTCCTTACCTAGCGTGTGCGGTTAAGGGCTTGAGGTTCAAGGCTTATGGCTTTGGCAGCAAGCTGTGGGATGAGGGTTTCGAGTTTAGGTTGGTGTTGTCTAGCAACCAAGTTGGACTCTGCCAGGGGTCCGAAATTCCATTCGTCGTGCTTTCGCTGATTGGATAGCGCAGTGTTTTGCTGAGTTTTTATGGCCGAACGGCGTGCCGCTTGCTAGATTGTCAATCGTTGCAGTGCCTCGATCGGCATGTTGAGGCTTGCAAGCCTTGCAGCAGAAGAAGCGCGGATGCTTTTCGGTGGAGGATCCTCTGCGATTGGAGGTGTCTTTGGGCCCGGGTAAGCACATCAAGATTGTATGACGGCCATGGAAATCGGATGTTGGCCAGCGATAGATTCACTTGGCATTGGTTTCTGCATTCCTCTGGGGACAAGGCGGAGTGTGCAAACCGTTCACCGATCGTCGGTTGCGTAATCGCTATTTGTGTGTTTATCTTGTTCAACCGTTTGCCGCTGAGCTGAAGAATGATCGTGTTGCCCATCAGAGGCTTATTTCAAGGTTCCAGGTCAATTTGAGTTGAGCTGTGGGAGCGACAATCAGGAAGAGCTTACATAAGCTTCATCGATAGAACATCTTCGAGGCAGATTTTGGCTGCTTGGCATAGCATGTTGTTTGTTGACATGTATTGCGTGCAGGCTGCCTGCTTGGCAGCTGGAGATTCGCTGGAGAAGCTCTCTGAATGGAGGCTTGCCGTTGTGCGGAATGACTCTCGGGGCAACTATGTCATGCCCACGCAATGAGCCTGCCATTGTTTTGTGTTATACTTGCAAAGGGCATGGCGATGATGTTTTGGGTTTCGATTGTGCTGACGGCAGCAGATGTATTCTCAATGCCCCACCTCCATCCCAGCAGGCGAGCCTGGGACATACTGCTTGGACTGATGAAGCACTTGGGTGGAGGCACGTTTCTGCATCAATCTCAGGGGCCCGAGCATTCAGCATTCTGAACACAAACTGCGGTTAGAAAGGTCTAGGTCAATGTTCGCTGTGGAATTCGCGGTTCTGCAATCTGATCCGATCGCCGGCAGGCAAAGCCTGGAACTCAGCGTACGCGCGTGAAATGATCAAGTAGCTTCTCTTGCCTTCTTCCTTCAGTACGTTCGTTCTTCTGACACACGGAGCATCTGAAGACCATGAACGCCTAAAGCCTGCATGCCTCTTCGGAACTGAGCCGGCCAAGGAAGGCAGCACTTTGTCCGATGAGACCGCCGCATTCTTAAGCTTTAAGCTTCAGCGATGCGACTCCACCGCGGTGGTTGGGTCTCACTGTGTCATATTCATACTCAAAGTGTGTGTGTTTGTTGCAGTGAATCACTAGTTATTGTCAGAGACGAAACATGTAGTCCAAGCGGCAACCCGTGGTGATGACACTCTCAGATCCGCTGGTGATCGTTTTGGCCTTGCCCTTAGGTTTTGCGGATGCATGCGTGGAGCTTGGTCAAGTTGCAAAGGAAAGAGGTGTTGGACAAGAGCCTGTGATGTTTCAGCTGCGACGGCTTTTGATTTCTCGTGTGGTCCTGAGGCCCATGTCTGCATGAGATCGGCCAACTTGCTTGGACGGATAGTTTCAGGCGCCTCAAGGGTTTCTTTGTACATGGTGCAAGGACCCAAGAGCGGCTGTCGATCTTGACAGTATTGTGAACAACTAGTGTGTGGACTCTTTCGGACCGGACTCTTGTTCGTAGCCACTCTCCGGTTTTGATTAGTAACATTTTGAATCTTCTTTCAATTTTTCTGCCGAAGATGACGTGTTTGGCATGGGAGGCATCGCAGACAATGACATCACCGACCTCTGTGGCCATTTGCGTGCAGGTTGCTGGCTTCAAACACGTTGTGTTGGATTCAGTGACAGGGTTGATTGTCTGCGCCCGCACAGTCAACCCATCTGGAATCAGCAGAAGAACTTTTCACCCATCGATGAAGTTTAGAGCTGTTGAATGCTGAAGTGCTCTGGAGGTGTTGGGCGGATGTCTCACTCTTTTTGTGTGCGTGTGTTCGTAGTGTTCCTTTCCGAACACAAGCCAAGGCCTGAGAAACTCTTTGGCAATCGCTTCTACAAACTCCCGGAAGCACCTGCCGACTGCACGAAAGCTCATTGCACGCGCCCAAGTTGATGGTTGGGGCTTGTAGCAGAGTCTGTACTTGAGATTGATGAGGTTTTGAAAACGTCTAGAGAGGAATCCTCATCTAGAGAACTATCCATCTCTTGCTACATCTGAATGCTCGATGTTTTCACGAAGTCCCTCACCCAGAATCACGGCCTTCAAGAAACATTGAATGAGTCGAAATATCCGGTCATATTAAGTGCACAAATTTACTGAAGTACACCCTGAACCCTTTTGTCTCCTATGATCAAGGCATAATTCTGCCACTCCGGGTAAATGCGAATTGTAGGAATGGCTGGTGCACATCGCCATCTCGCAGACAACCGGCACATCTCCGAGAATGGCCTGGGCCTGTGCCAGAAGGGTGATTGTTAAAAATTCAACCCTAAGCTCCTAAGCCCTAAACTGAGAAACCCAAACTCCAAACCCTAAACTCCAAGAAACTCCAAGGGCTCCAAACCCTAAACCTTTCTTTCTGTAGCATGATCTTCGCAAGCATGGAGTGACCAAAGATGACTGCCGCAGATGTGGCCAAGCCTTTGCCAATCCCGGCCGAATGGACACCATCTAGAATCCAGGAAGGCTTGAGGCCATGAACTGGTTTGCTAATGCTAGCTGGAGTGTGTTCGATCTGGGCCCTACCAGTGGCCCTGCCAGCCTGATCTGTAAGCCCAGTTGGTTTCAGTTGAGAGACGACTTGTGATGGGAAGCTGCATTGCGACGATGAGCAACAATGGCACCTTCTTTGGCAGTTGTTTAGTGTGAAATATTTCTGAAAGCGAATGGTTTCTGCGACCTTCCGAGCCCGCGTGAGGCGTTGCAGTGCTGGCAGCAAGCCCTGCGTGCTTGCAGCGAAGGAGTCAGCACGGAGAAGGTCCCAACTCCTGCGTAAGTGATGAACCTGACCATATCTTGTAAGAAGTAAGTGGGGTACATGGTGTGATGTTACCCTGAACCGTAAACCCCAAACCCCTAAACCCTGAACCCTAAACCCTAAAGTCAGCCTGTTGAATACTGCTCCCGCTTCAGTGTGGGCAAGGACTGCTGAGGTCTGTGGTACAAACTTTGGGGTAGTATGTAGGGGGAAGCGCTTATGTGGTGTGGTGGTGAAATTAAATCCCCACTGTTGCAGTCGTCTGCCCTACTCCCTCAACCGTTACGGTAGTCCGGATGCCGCGAGGCGAAAAGACACAAGGGTTCAAAAAAAAACCTTAAACCCCGAGACCAAACCCTAAACCGTAAAACCAAAACCCTATTATAGATTCCTTTAAGGAAACCTTATAGGATCCCTTTAGAGGAACTCCTAAACCCGGCACTCCCTTTGAAGGTCTTGGGAGCCCTGAGCCACGGGCGGATGCCCGCTGAACAGCTGCAGCTCCTTCAGTCGCTTAGCCAACTGGCCAGGCCGGAGCCATGAGAATTGTCAGATGTAGGCATGTACCCTAAACCCTTACCTGTGCTTTCTGCAGACCAGTCATGTGCTGTGCTCGCGGTTGTTCCACGCTCGATCGGATCGAGATTCGATTTGCTTCTCGAGGCGGGGTCGGATCTCACCAGACGTGGCCGAGCCGATGGCAAGGGTGATGCAATTCTTGATGCAGCTGGTCCCACCACTCTGGGGCCAGCTCTCTCTCCCTGACAAGGACCGGCAGCCTTGGCTGATCCCGCTGATCCTTCTTTGTCTGTGGGTGTTGAGGGAGAGAATCATGGTGCTGATGCTCTGGGTTCGTCATGCTTCGTCGTTGCAGCGAAACATCGTTTCTGAGCCGCTGTCGCACAAGGATGGATGAAGAAGTCTTGTAGGTGTCTTTGCTCTTGCCTTCTCCTGAAGTTGTCAGAGCCCCTGATCTGTGCGAGTGCAGAAAGATACCGCATTGTTCAGCAACAGGCCAGTTGCCCCTCCTGACAAGGAGGCCGCATCCAGAGTTGTCGCAGCCGCCCTGGAAGCTGTAACGCTGTGTCTGCCACCAAGCCCCGAGCGGAGCACCTTGACTCCAAACCGGCCCGAAATCACAACCGCCCGAACTCCTTCAGAACTTTCAATTTCACTTGTGATGCGTTTGCTTGGACGTTGCAAGTTGCCGGAATGATGCGGTGGTTATTCGTTTGCTTCAGTTGATCGAGGGTTCAGCATCAGATAAGTATCATGTAGTAGCAAGTAGCGTACATGCGACTGAGTCCAAGGCATCTCATCTTTGGATTGGGCTGATGCGTTCATGGAGCAGCTGACTGGAAGTGCAGGCAACAGTGCGATGACTTGAAGGAAGTTTGTCAACAACTTCGAAAATGAAGCTGCAGCATGCGGCACCACATTCTCAACCCAAACTGAGTCTTACTGCTGTCTCTGTAGCGTTTGCGCCGTTCCTGTCAGGCGAGTTGAACAAGGGCGACCCATCACTTCCATCGCTGCAGATGCTCTTCTCCGTGGTGTTGCGAGCGCGTCTTCAGCAAAGCGAGGCGAGGGTCGTCATTTTTTGCGATGGAAGCAACGTGACTACTTCGACAGGCACACCACTACAATGTGCATTTTCTTTGACCCCCCGATGCTAGGAGTTTCGCAAAGCCGACCCGCAGCTGCTGATGATGCAGCGGTCGGACCTCTTCACTCTCGTTTTGCAGGGGCAGTCGCTGCAAGAGTTCAAAGAGCTCTCCGGCGACACAAGCTCCTGGCCTGCAGCTTCGTTCCCAGAGAGCCCAATACCCGTTAACTACGGAATGTGGCGTAAATTATACAGGGCTTCATATGATGATTTACGCTAATTTCCATGAAGGGGTATTGGGCTCTCTCTGGGTTCCCCTCGTGCTCGTAGATAGATGGTAGATGTATGTCAATTGTATATGGTTTTTGCAGGTGTGCATTTCTGCACATTTCATGTGTTTAAATATGGAACCCCAAGGGCCGTCAATCCTTCAACAACGAGTCCCTCACAGAAGATGTGGAATGTGTAAGCGTGCTCAGACAGCGAATCCTAGTATACTACCAGGATCTAGAGGCAGGTATCTTGTCCCGGAGGTACATAACAATTATTGTGTGTAGATCTTGTAGTTACACCAACACGCTGTATCAGTATGTTTCCTCGCACAAACGTGATTATGAATCTCAGTTTCTTCAGCATCCTCGTCATCATCATGTTCATCACGATCATCGTCATCCTCGGTATGTTAACATACCCTAAACCCTCAACCCTGAACCCATGTTGTGGTCTCGGGATGTTGCCTGGGATGACCACACGCAGTTTGTTCCCCGACGTTTAAGCGGCTTGCTGTGTGTTTCTTGAACTCGCGATACTCGAGTCTGGTTGCGGTGTGGGTCGCTCGGGGGAAGCAAATATTTAAGTAAGTATGAACAGGTATACATACATAAATACATAAATACATACATACATACATGCATGCATGCATGTACCCATGATTCTGTACCAGCATAGGGTTTTCACCAGATTTTGTCATGCTTCTTGGTGGCAAGTTTATTGTCGACACAGCGGTACTAGCATGGTGTTTGGTGCGAAAGTCCTGTAGTCGTTAGACTTGTGTTTGGGACGTTTTGATGCGACTTTTGTTTGTGACATTTTGATGCGTAGAATTCTTCAAATCAAATTTATGCAGGAGGATGCAGCATACTTGTCGGTAGCTCTCTGCCGACTGTCGAGGCCTTGTGGCAGCATCACCGTCGATTCCCAAAAGTGGCCATTGCAGCACGTGGCTGCGCTTAGCCGGCCTTGAGGGCACCGCAGCGCAGACCCTCCCTGGCTTCTGCCGTTACAGCGTGCAGGCGGTGGAGTCACTGCGCCTGCAGCTTCCGAGAGGCCTTGCCGCGGCGCTGCTCTGCCTTCGACAGCTCCGGCTTCACCACGCCGTGCTGCTGCAGACGGAGCCCGTCACCAACGGTTCCAATGCAGGCTGGCGCCTTGCACACTGCGCATCCTTCGCGCGCCTCACGGTTGCCCAGAGCTCTGAGCCGGACTTTGCGGCTGCTCTGAGCAGAAGCGGTGCCAGCAGGAGGACTCCTGCACTGGCTGTGGTGGTGCAGCTGGAGCGGTGCATCCAATCGCAGGGAGACTTTGTCATAGTTGGATATCATTTTACATTTTTATGGGGTACTTAACTAGAATAAGGAACAATAAATTGAGATTTTTGATCCTGTCCCAACCATGAACTAGGAGAGGAAGCTGAGACGTTGCTGGAAGTGGCGAGGCTGCGTCTGCTGCAGGCTCAAGCCTCACAGCAAGGGGCGATCGCAGACGACGAGGCCGACCACAAGGTGCGGCTTGGGCTCAGATTCACCCTCAACTGGAAGCCTAGCACACAAATCTTGAAAACCTCAACCTTGAAGGTTCCGTCACTAATTCAGCTCCGGTGCTTCCTAAGCACCCAGGTTCTACCCAGCCCTAGGCCCTAGGCTGAAGTCATCTTCCATTCGGTGAGACTTTGTAGGAGCCCGATGACCGCATGAGCCTTCTTGCCTCGATCTTGTGTGAGTGACTCGACTCGTTGGACGCATTGCACTGCCTTCGGCAGTACATGCGCGTGCGCAAGCTGTCAGAGTAATTGAAGGACTTTGTAGGCACCCGAAGAAAAGGGTTTTGGGGCCCACTATACCATAAGTATAATAAGGAACCCACAAACGGGGAGTTTGGAAGCAGCTCGGATTTTCAGAGCTCCCCGATGCGTCTTCCCTTGCTGGCACTCGATGCCTAGAGGGCCTACTGGCAGCCCCGCCCCCAGCCAGTGCTTGCGTATTCTCAAAACTCTGCACACCCGAAAGCCAGGTTCTCAATTCCAATCTTTATATGCCCTGTACCGAAAATCGACAACCATCCCAAGCCCCCGAACCTCTAAACCACCTGCAAGCGCTTACAAGCCCCGAACGCCCTCAGGAGCCCGCGCGATTTGTGGCCGCAGCCCTCGCCGCCTGGCAGAAAGTCCTGGCCGTGGATTCCAAAGCCCTGGCAGCCAGGACAGGGTTCATTAGAGGGCTCCGTAAAGGGATCTACAGCTTAAAGGGATGTATGGTTAAGGGGTTAGGGTCCACTTAGAGGAGCATGGGACTTAGTAAGTAGGTTTTATAAGTATGTTAATTGAGGTTATAAGTAGATATAACTAGAACTTATAACCCTACTTACTAAGTATCATGATCCTGTAAGGACGGTTGACGGTTGTTTACGGGTTCCTTGAAGAGGTACCGTAAGGGCCACGATGAGGGTTGCTGAAAGGTTTACTACGAGGGTTGTTGGGTTCGCGTTTTTGTTTGGGATCGGTATGGATCGGTTCAAAGAAACATAGTTTTTTTCAAAAACCTATGCATTTTTTTGCAAAAAACTTATGGGTGTGGCGATTTGGCTTCAGGGCCCCGAGAAAGGACGAGAGCTGCCCTCGGCCCTCTGCTGGCTGTATCGTCTAGCGTTCAGGGTGTGCGATTTGGGGCGTAGCGTTGAGGGTTTGGGGTTGAGGGTTTAGGAGTTTAGGACGACGGGATCTTGGGTTCAGGGATTTGGGCTTCAAAGGTTCGGTACGGGTGGTGAGCCACGCAGTGAAAGAACTAAAGGTCTGGAAGGTAATAGGGCCCTAAAACCTCCTAAGCCCCAAAACTCAAAACCCCGAAACCCTAAACCAAAACCCAAAACCCAGAAACCCCAACACCCTAAGCCGGGTTCAGGGCAGGCCTTCATTCTGGGCCCTGATGGTTGAGGCCCGTAGGACTGAAAGGGTCCTCCGACTAAAGGGCTCCAGACTTAGACTCGGACTCACGGAACAATCCGTATCATAGTGCAAATTTCACGGCATACTGTATCTAGTATTATACAAATTCAAGTGTGTATGTGTATAGAGAGTATGTTAGGTATGGTGTTTTGTATGTGGTTATGTACCATCTCGTGGTCCTTACGGTAAGGGAAGTTGCAACAACGATGAACCTCATGACAACCAAGTGCTGTGGCCAGTGACAACTACAGTCCCTACGGTGAAACCGGTCTGATGGACAGGACTCCTGCAGCGGTAGCGGATGTGCTGCAAGCGGTGACAGATACATCGTTTGCAGGCCATGGACATGAGCAGGACCTTAGCATGTCGAGAATGTCGGGATGTGCGTTTGTGGCTCGGGGCCTTAGATCGTCTGCCCCACAGTGCAGCTGACCCCTTGACACATATTCGCTTGTGTTTGACTTTGTGGGCAGTATCTTATTCTGGTTGGCCAGAAGCAATGTGAACCGGCTAAGCCGTGAACCTCACGCTCTACCGTCCAGATGTCAAGCCCCAGCGCCTCTTGTCCGTGGTTGTCCAACAGGCGGGTCGCATGCCGTCTTGCTGCTGCGCGATGCCTCTGATGCGGCTCATCTCCTGGAGGGTATGGACCGCTACCAAGCCGCAGCTGCCCTGTTGACCCCACAGCCTGATGCCTTGAACCTCAAACCCGATACGAACATCGCGCCGACGTCGTGCAGGACCTTGATCACCTGGCTTTTCGTGCTCTGGCCGGGCCCTGTGAAGAAGGGGTGCATTCTACTTTGGATCAGCTACGAAGCGATCATGAACAGTGAGATGATAATTATGATGGCTTTGATGGTGGATGTAAAGAAGATCGTCACCATAATGAAGACAAGCCGGATGGTGATCCCAATGAGTTTGCTGTTGATGAACATGGAAGTCGCAATTGGTCTTCACATTGTGGATTGTTGTATCATCGGTGACGTCATTATGCCCAGCAAACTAACAGTACTTTCCGATAGGAGTTTTGCAGACTCCGTGTTCGTCAATGGTTTGTCGGTCGCCCCCGCCCCAGTAATAAACACATTCAGGGTCACAAACGGTAATATCGGGCCTGAATAGTTCTAATTCGATGTCTTTAAGGTTATTCTTTCTAGGAAACCTTTTTCTGATTATCCAGACCCCTATGCTAGACAGCCGACTCAAGCAAATGCATTGACATGGGACGATTTACATGAGAGCATGGTGGACCTTGCCGGATGTCGTTAACCACAAAATGTGCTTCATGCTTTAGTGGCCTTGTGTAAGTTCTGAGCCTAAAGGGTCGTCAAAGATGCATCCTGCCAGGATTTTCCAATCCGCAGTCGCCATAACAAACTAAGCCGATGCCACCTTTGTGGAATCCCGTCGGATCCCGAAATCCAAGACTCCAAGGCAATGTTGATTTGGCATCCTGCCTTAACCCCAAATTTCAATCATTGTTCTTGTTGGGCGGGCAAGTACAGCAGTTCGGCCAGAATTCGAGCTTGTTTTTAGGCGGAAGAGTGCTTTTTGAAGTGCAGTAAGCGCAAAGTGCGGGTGTTTTCGAGGTGCCGTACATTGTCTCGATGCTACATAAATCAAAATAAAAGCAATATATACCAGCATACACATATAGATACATACACACATGTTTATGCACACACATCCATGGCATGTTCTCCAGATGGATATGTACATACATGTATGTATCTACGCACACCTATGTCTGTCAGATTGTGTGCGCGCCCAGGGATGCACGGCTTGCTTCAGGTCCTGTGTCTGGCTTGCCTGTGCCGACGACATGGATCCGCTGCGCTCTGGTGGCGGTCGGGCCTTCAGGGGGTTGTTCAGTGTCATTGATTCATAAAGGGCGCGCCCAAGCTGTGGAGCTGCAAAATCCTGAAGACCAGAGCCTGCGATACCAGAAGCCTGAACCCTGGATGTGTCTTGAACGGAAAGGGAGAAGCTTTAAAACGTTAGAACTTGCACATGAGCAGCCCTGGGAGCTTGTTGGCAATCGCGTTTGGCACACAGGCCTGGAGCTATGGAGGTGTCCGAGAAAGTGCACTCTTGCATGCAGGCGCCAGATGTGCGATGTGCTGCTTCTGTGCTTCAGAACTTTAGCGGTGTGTTGGAGTCTGCGGTGTTTCGCGGATTCGAGTCCCAGGGATGCTAAGTGTATGAATTGGAGAGGAGAAGCCCTCGGCTTGGAGGTTTCAGACATTCTGGCTCGGCGCCTTGCAGCAGCTACTTAGAGGATCAGGGGACTTAGCAACTAGGGTTGTAAACAAGGTACCTGTAGTTATATCTACTTATAATCCTAATTAGGATACGTATAATCCTACTTATGCCCCATGATCCTCCGAATACTTGTCAAGGTTATTTGGAGAGAGCACAGTTACTGATAAGGCACTAATCGTGTTTGGATTAGCCCGACTCTCCATACTGGTGGTGGTCGTACTGTACTCGTTGAGGTGCATGTTAGTGCTTGTAGAGGAGTACAGGCAGCTCGTGCAAGAAGTCGGCAACGCAGATACAGCGCTGCAGCACTGCAACGGGAGCCTCCTGCGTGGCACTAGGGCCAACAGGGCCAGTGCCTCACCCGAAACTTTTTAAACTTAAATTCCTGAGCCCAGAACTTGGGCAGAGGGAGACGGGCCTTCAACAAAAAGGAGCTTAAACTCCGAAACCCTTGAAAGGCCAACCCTTGAACCATGAGCCTGAACAGTGAACCCAAAGCATCCTACAGGAAAGCCTGGGAAGCCGCGCCGCGCCGAAGCCCGAAGCCTGCGTGCCGAAGGCTTCCGTCGTCCTCCTGTACCGCATAGCGGCTGCCATGGGTCGCCTTGCGTCGACTCCTACGGCAGATGCGGAGGCTCCGCCAAGCTCCGAAGTCCAAACCCTGCAGCGGCGAGACTCCAGTTAGGGTTTAGGGAGAAGCAGTGTTTTGTAAAACAACACAAGCCCGCACACCTCAGCCAAAGGACAAAGAAGGGACCTTGCCTCTGTCTTCTTCAGGCGCATGCGGCCGCTCTGGACTGGTGGCAGTTGGCAGAGGCGCACAGGGATTGCCCAGTAGAGGAAAGATTCGGAGCAATGAAGTCCGAGCGTAGGTTCTAAAGACTATACCACAATTCCCATAGTCTATGGTCATCAAGGTAGTGCAGGATTTAGATTTAGATCATCAACCGTAGCCTCGCTTCGTCGGAGCATTGGAGCAAGGGCAGCCATTTGCAGCAGTTCCTGTTTTGGTAGTAGATGCTACGACCCTCCAGCACTTGGCAATCATGACTTGTTTCGTCTTTGGAGAAGCCGGAAGAGACTGGGGCCTCTCAACCTGGCAGCATTTACCTGATGCTTTTTAACCAAGGCCACCATGTTCTCGCTGATGCTCTTGTTTCTTCTGCCATGCTGCTGTCGCTTCTAATGCTATCACGATACTGGCTCATACTGGCTCCTGATTCTTACGACTCAAGCATAAGCTCCGAGACTCCTGAGAGCGCCCAACATGAGGCTGCCGGAAGGCGAATGCCTGATGGACAGGCCCGGCCAGCAAGATTTCATTCTTGGGTTGTACCGGACGCCATCCGACCAAAACCCACCAAATGCCAGAGCCGCTTGAAGTGTTGCTTTCGGATGGAGAAGATTTGGGTCTCGGGTGTCAGTGGGTGATCTTACATGGCAGAAGAGCTTCGATGTTTCCGTTGAATGTACGTGTGGGGAGCACATGCTCAGGGCTCCCATATCGTTGCCCTTCAGCGCCTGATCGCCATCTCGACGATGTCCCGTCCCTAGGCCCTAGCGAGCCCTGGCCCCAGCTCTGCTTTTCGTGACTTGACTTCAACCTCTCCCGAGGCCCGAGCAGTCTCCGGGGATCTGGGGCGAAGGCGCGGCAGTGAGCAGTAGAGCCTGCATTGGAGGCTGCAGAGTGGGTGAAAGAGACCCGAGAGCTGCGGAGGTGGTGCCTGGATCGATGTCCATGCCTCCGCCAGGCTCAACTGTTGGCACTGGTAGGTGGGTTGCGATGAGCTGAGGGAGGTGCGGAATCTTCAGGCTTGCGTCCCGTCAGAGGGGGCCGCGTTATCGAAGCCCAGTTTGTCGCTTCACCTGCGCCTTTGCACAGGGCGGCCGTGGCCTGCGTGGCCCGTGAAGATGCAGGCGGGCGGGTGCATGGAGGAAGCCTGGTTTTAACACGGGGCCGGGCGTTGAGCTGCCCATCCTTCGATGCCAGGTGCCGTGCCGCAGACTTGGCTGCATGTTGTCGAGGCCCTTCGATGCGGATTGTGGTATTCCAGCCCTCAAGTATTAGTATTTGATACCTGGGATGCGCGAGATTCTGATTCTTTTGCAGGCCCTCTGGGCACTGGCCTCTTGCACCATGCACTGGCAGGCAATGGGATTAGGGCTAATGCCAATGGGTGGTTGCCAGTGAACAGTTGCAAAGCAATCCACATTCCTACAACGCATACATCAGCAGGTGCCGATAGACGCTGTTACTGCATTTCTTCGTTTGCACGTCACGTGCGCGAGTATGATCCCGGGCCATGCTTCAGCTTTTTGGCGGGGTGCACACCTAGATGGTGCTGGGTTTGCCTAGCATCAGATCCAGGTCACCAAGCTTTCGTGAGCTCAGCTCCAAAATCTTCAAGTCTTTGTCTGAAGCTGAGTCTGCATGGCTATGCTTGGCCGTGCTTCCCTGACTGCAGCCTTCTAGGTTTCATAGTTGCGTTTCAGGGGCGGTGTCTTGGGGAGAAAACCTCGGTGCTGCGAAGGGATGCGTGGGATCTCAGGGCAAGAACTCCCGATTGGCAGGACCGCCACTGCCAGTGTCCTGGGGGCAGTGCTGTCACGGCGCAGTGTGCTGGGGACCCGGTTGCAGAGGGCAGCTCTTTACTCTGCTCGCAACTCTTCCCAAATGGGAGTTTCCCAGAATAGGGGATTCTAATCTCGTACCCTAAATAGTAGGATCCGTATTATAAGGACCCCAAAATAAGGTACCTCGAATTTTCGGAAACTACCGAAATCTGAGAAGCTGAAACTGGCAGGTGTTGATTTCCGAACCCTTCCGTCGGCCGACTCCAGCATCTCCTCCAAATCTGCGTAGTGATCACGATTACTAGGACCGTTATGTCCATATGGGAGTTTCCGAAAATTAGGGGTACCTTATTCGGGGTCCCTAGAATAAGGATCCTGATCCTACTATTTAGGGTATTAGATTAGGGTGCCCCATTTTCAGAAACTCCCAGATGAGCAAGGGCAAAGACCACCACCAGCACGACCAGCATGCCATCGCGCCGTCAGTGCAGCAGCAATCGGAAGAGGGGGAAGAGATCGTCTTGTCCACCCGAGGCAGCTCTGACATCACTGATGTTGCTCTTTCGCGGCCAGTCGAAGGTCCCTGGTTCTCGCGGGTTGAAGGAGTTGCTTTCGGAAACGGGCGATGACGGCTTACGCTTCAAGGATCTATGACAGTGACTTTATCGCTGCCACCTGTGCTATGAGCAACTATGCAACAGAGGGGCTTCGCACATGGCCGCACATAGCAACGGAATGGCTGCAGAAGCCACATTCCGGACAGGTAACTGCGCCAGATTAGAAACATGATATAAGTCGAATTTGAACGCCAGAAAGTGTAGGGACTTGGTAGTTGGTTGCAAAGCTGGGGCTAGAAGAGTATTATTACTAGATCACTGTGTCCGGTATCATTGAACTTGCGACAGTTCAACCGTCACCCTGCTTCCACTTCGTGCCTTTGGTTGCCAATAAGCAGAGTTCGTTCTAAGGCCACTCCTGAGTGTTGCACTTCGCCCGACTTGCTTAGCGGCAGCAATAGTCCACAGCTTTTGCATGCCGTACGGCGCCTCAATCCGCCTCGGGTCCCTAGCCAAAGCCAGTATCCAGGCTAAATCCTGAGAACATTACAGCCTGCAAGAGAAATATCTGCAGTCATCTAGATTGGATGTAAGTATGGACTGGCACTGGACCGACTCGGGCAAGTTTGGCAAAGTCCCACCCTTGTACCTACTTCCGCTGAGCCAACAAACTGCCAAGGCCGACCCTGACAAGCTCTTATAACATGTTATACTAGAGTATGTTGTGTTATGTTATATTATATTATGTTGTGTTATATTACGTTATATACACGTTACTATATATTGAACTTTTGTATTATATTGTATTGTATTGTATTGTATTGTATTATGTTATAGTATATTGTACTGTTCAATATACTATATCACCTCAAAAGCCCAGAAGCTGGACCCTAAGGCCACAAGTTTTACCAACGCCAAACCCTAAACCTTAAACCCTAAACCCCTAAACCCTAGCCTCGTTGACCCGCAAGAGCTCACAAGAACCCCACAGGCCAAAAGTCTGAGAGTCCAGCAGCCTGTGACGGATGCGGCAGAGGCGAGTTTTGGGATGTGGAAGCTTCAGTCAAACCACAATTACAAAATTACAGTCATCGTCATGCAGTAATGCTAGTAGCAAAAATATTGGTATTGATATGAACATGTCCTCGGGCTCAGGTTCGAAGCCTAGGCTGAGGTTGTTGGGCGGTTTATTAATTGAGGTGGAGATACGTGGTTTACGACTCATGGTGTTTGATTCTGGAGCACAAGGATTTAAACCTTGCGGGAAGACGTTGATGCACCTCGCCCTGGGCAGCAGTAGCATCCTGATGTTTTGGGGTTTATGGATTCAGGGTTTCCGGACGTGCACACTGCAAGATGGCATGCGTTGACAGTTCTTTTAATAGCAGAAGAAGCAGTTGCGGCGCTTTCGCTGCAACAAAGAGACACGGGTTTCAGAGCTTGGCACACCAAGGCCTCCCCGTACCCAAGAACTTGCAGGAGCCTTGGCTGCGCTGGCCGGCTTTCCGCTCCGCGCTCTTGCAGCTCCGGGTGGTCAGCCAGGCACAGCTCCAGAAGCACAAAGTTCCGACGATCTCGGGGTTCAGACCGGTTCAGAGACATTTTTTGGGAGTGCTTTCTTAGGAGTGTCTTCGCACGGCGGGAATGGCAACCTGCTGTGCAGATATCATGATCGCCTTCGCACGGTGGCGTTGCTGCTATTCTGGTGTTTGGGGCTTGTCTGTCAGGCAAGTCACTTGTACAAGTGGCTCGGAGAAGCGGATCTTGCCGATGCCTGCTGCCAGTGTGGCCTGCAGCCCCTTGGCAAAAGCTGCGTGACAGCAGTCGACGAGCACCGAAGGGCACAGCTCTTTTGTCTTGCAAGGCTGATATCGCAGAGGCTTTGTGGAGACCATCGTTGGAAGCTGCGGTTCCTATGCATGCGAGCAAGGTGCGGCGCGGCATGGCCGCATCCGCATCCTGATCTTTCCCCTCTCAAGCGCGCTCTGCGCTGTGCCGTTCATCGCAGGTCTGCCATGGCTCAATCGGCTCGTGTGCCCGACATGGCCGGCTTGAAGGTGGGCTGAGGGTTTTGGGCTGCGACTCCTAAACCCTAAACACTCCCAAAGCTTCCTGCCTAGGATGCAAAAGCGCCGGAACTGGAGAGGCTGCTCGCAGAGATCGACGCGCTCTGGAACGGGAAGCGCCTCGTCGCACTGGGTCCAACGTGCTTTCAGCTTTTCGGGGCCTTGAGCTTTGACGGAGGAACACCGGATTGGTAAGTAGAATACGTCCCTAAACCCTAAACCTTTAACCTAAACCCTAGAGTTTAGGGTTTAGGTTTAAGGTTCAGGGTTTGCCCCAAATTTCGGGATCTACCTTCTAGATCCTCCCGGGGGTCTGGGCACAGGATGCAGGCGTCTGCAAAGATGGGCAAAGAGGAGGCCAGGGAGGCCTCACCGGACGGGTGCTGGGTTATTTTGGGATTCGTTTTTAGGCTTTGGGGTTTCAGGGTTTAGGGTTTAGGGTTTGGGGTTTAGAGTGTTCAGGCTTTCGTAGACGCCTTTTGGATGCTTTGCGGTGCTCTTTGTTGGCCGCCTTGCTCTTGTCACTTGGGCAGTGATATGCACAGACTCTGACCGGTACAGAGATCCCATAAATTAGAGAAGATCCGAGCCAAAGTCCCGAGCGGATAGCATGTCAAAATCTCCGGCACAGGCCAATTGTTCGAAGAACCCTTCATTGAGTCATACTCCTCAGATGCGCATAAAATTCTTCACCTGAACAGCACTCCCCTACATTACCCGGCAAGCAAAGGCTCTATGAGCCCGAAAACGCTTGTAGAACCCTGCAGAGAACCTTTAAAGGACCCTCGAAAAGGAACCCCCCCCTAAAGGAATCCCTTAAAAACCCCTTTGACCCGCTTTGGAGCGCCTTTAAGGAACCCTTTAAAGGATCCCCCCCGCCCTTATTAGGACCTGTTGAAGAATCACCGCCGAGCCTCCACAGGCTGCAGTGCCCTGGGAATGCCTGGCTACTCGGGCTCCGAAGAACTTTCGGGTTGCGGCGGATCTATAGGGCATGTATTCGCGTCTGGAAGAGATCAAAACGTTCCATAACAGTTCTATGAGGGGGCTCTATCAGGGTTCCGTAAGGGGTGTATGTGAAATCTGGAAGGGTTCCATGAGGGTTCAATAAGGATTCTGTACCGGGTTCTTTAGCGAATCTTATGAGAGTTCTCTTAAAGTTGTATGAGGGCTCAATAAGGACATTATGAGGGGTTTAATAAGGGTTCTATAGCGAATTTATAGGGGTAGGATTCATCCGGGGTTTGCTTGGTTAGCTTAAGCCCTCAACTGGAAACCGTAAGCCCCAAACCAGGGCGCCGAACTGCCAAAAGCCGGATGATTATCAGCAGGCATCGAGCAAAGAGCCGCAAGAGTAGGGTGATAAGTAAGCGAACTGTGGTTCTTCCGTTTAAGGTAGTTATGGTTCATGACTACTAAGACCGCGCTCGTGGTACTTCTAATCTACTTGCAACCCTACAGTTCTCTTTGCCCGGAATAGTACTGTGGGGTTCAAAGCCAAGCCCGGAGGTTTGGAGGTGCTGGGGCTGCAAACAAGTGCATGCGGGGCTGGCCGAAAACTTTCGAGAGTGAGTGTGTTGGTGAAGGGTCGAGGAGACTACCGCTGCGATGCATAAGAGGCTGTGTCCCAGAATTCGAAAGCTCAGGAGTTGTGGGCCGAGGCGCGGCAGGGGCAGGGCAGGTGGAGGGTTCCATTTGAGATGTTTTGTTTATGTAGTAGTCTTTGTTTTTTTCAGCTGAAGCGAAAGACATACCGTATCTTGCTGCCATGCTAGTCGATCTCAGAGTAATTGGGTGGTTGGGTGGCAATGTGGACGTAGTAGCCTCTGCTTCTTCAGGCTGGAACCATGGCTGTCCCTTGTTGGCGGGGCTTTCCGGAACTCGGTCGCTCTTGGAAGCTTCGTCTAACGGCGCTTGCGGCACAGCGTCGAAGATGTCCACAAGCTTGGGCAGCGCACATTGATGGGCTGCTTTCTTGGATGCGGGCAATGCCTGACAAGCCACTGCCTCACTTGGGCCAGATGCTGCTGACGGTGGCGCAAGTCTTCTTCGATGAAGCAATTGAGGGCGGGCACAACTCGATTGATGCCGCCACTTGCGATGAACTGCTGGCTGTGCTGTCGTCTTGCCAGCGGGATCTCATTCGCAGCGAGAGCTGCCCGTTGCTGGAACCCCACCAAGAAGAGGCTGTTGTCTTGGCTGCCAAGGCTGGAATCGTTCAGCAGAGATGGGCTCTGTTCATGGATGCATACGTTGGGGACCCTATTTTTTTTAGCCCTTTTTTTTTTTTTTTGCCTTTTTTTTTTTTTGTTGGCCCCGCCGCGGGAAGGAAGGAAGGAAGGAAGGAAGGAAGGAGGAAGGAAGAAGGAGGGAAGGAGGGAAGAAAGGAAGGAAGGAAGTAAAGGAGGCAGGCAGGCAGGGAGAGAGGGGCCCTGCCGCGGGAAGGAAGGAAGGAAGGAAGGAAGGACGGAGTGTGTATATATATATATAGTATATACAGTATGTGTAGTATAAACGGTGTATACAGTATGTATGGTAGATGTAGTAGATATAGTACATATATATAAATACATAGTATATATATATATAGTATATATATAGTATATATATATAGTATATAAAGTATATATGTATATAGTATATATATATATATATATATGTCTGGTATATATATATCGTATATATAGCATATACGGTATTTTTATATATATTATATATATATAGTCTATATATATAATATGTATATATAATGTATATAGTGTGTATATATAGTATATATATAGTATAAGTAGTATATATAATATATACAGTATATATAGTATATATAGTATATAAAGTACGTATATAGTATATATAGTATATATACTATATATAGTATATATAGTACATATAGTATATATAATATATATATATATATATAGTATATATAGTATATATACTATATACAGTATATATAGTATATATAGTATATATAATCAATATGGTATATATAGTAAATAAGAAGGAAGGAACAAAAGAAAGAAATCAATAAAGAAAGAAAGAAAGAGAGCCATGCAAGAACTAGAGAAATAAACAAATAAAGGATGCTACAAGTAAAAAAGAAAACAAGAATAGAGAACTAAGTAAATAAAGAAAGCTATAAGGTAAGAACAAAGAAAACACAAGGGAAAGAACCAAAGAGAGTTAGAAACAAAAACAAAACAAACAATGAAGAAATAACCAAAGAACAAAAACAGAGAAATAAAGAAATACGGAAGGCCATAAATTAATAAAGACAATCAGAAATAGTTAAAGGAACAAGAAAGACGCGGAAAATAAAGAAGAACGATACGTAAGACTATCGCTTCATTGTGCTTTTTTTGCCCTGGGTCCTAGGGGTGCGACGCTTAAATCGGCTTGACGCAGTTTCAGCGAGAACTAACGTCGCCCCGGAAGAAACAGCGAAGGAAGAACAGAAAGAACACGAGTACACAAACGAAAACGTAGAAACTACTTATGCTTTGCCTTACTCAGTCCACTGATCCTCCACGTCAGCAGCATTTCCCCTTGCCCTGGCGCGAAACCGCAGCCATGGCTTCTAACTACAAGCACGTCGCGCCCGACAACGACGAGGAGACCTGATCCTGAATCCCTAGAACTGAAGCGCTAAAACCAGAAAGCCGTTAAACCCTGAACCCTGAAGCCTAGACCCTGGCAAACCTTGTCAGTGGAGGCTTGCAGTATGGGAACCTTAGTCAGAGTGCAATGACCTTAAACCCTAAACCCAAAAACCCTGAAGCCTAAAACCCCATTAAATTTGGCAGTGGTTTATCGTTTGTGCTTACGTTTGTTCGAGATCTGATCCATAGTTTCGGATGTCGTTCTTTTTCTTGCTTAACTTGTTTTGATGCTTGGATCCTATGATACTTATAAATTTGGGTAAACCAGCAAGGACTTTGCAGTGACGCCACCAACAACAACACTACTAGCCAAGGGAAGGAAGACAGGAAGAAATAAATCACGAACAAATCGAAAAATAGAAAGATAAACGGAAAGAACCAACCACAGAAAGACAGACAAGGAATGATCGAACGAAATACAGAACGCAAACCCAAAAAAACACAAGGGAATAAGAACAACACAGTAAGAAAGACAGAACAATCACGCTGAATGGCTGCAATTGCCGTATTTTCATTTTTTGATCCTTCTTTGATTTTTGTTTGACCCTCGGGTTTTTTATCCCTACAACTAGAACTAAAACTACAACATACTACACCTACAACCACAACGCCAACAACAACAACACTACTAGCAACAACTACACCACGAAATCCGTCCTAAATGCGAAATTGTAGGAAAAATTTGATTTTCCCGAGGAATAAGCTAGGTAACGTATGTTTTCCTTCGGAAAACCTGAAGAAATGCCACGAACGCCGTAGGTAATAGGAAAATAAGTTTTTTTCCTAGGAAAAACCAAAGAAAACTTAGAGAAATACAACGGAATCCGTAGGAAAATCGTGTTTTCCCCAGAAAAAACCAAGCAAATCCTTAGGAAACGAAAGAAATCCATAGGAAAGCAGTGTTTTCCCTTGGAGATTCCTGTGGAAATACAGAAAATCCCGAGAGAAGAGCTGTTTTTCCTGTGCAAATACAGAGAACCCAGGAGCCCAGGGCAGGGGAAAAAAAAAAAAGGGCCAAAAAAAAAAAAAAAAAAAGGGCAAAAAAAAATTCTCCACCCTCCATACGTTGGTCTGCACGCTGTAAGCCCTGTAGACGTAAAAGGATGGCTCGTCCTCGTCGGCCAAGCTCGTGGCAGTCTTCTACCTGGTCACCGGAGCCTTTCGAGGACACCGGGCTTCTGGGCACAATGCTCTCCAAGGCTTCTAGCCACAGTTGCTCAAAGCCTTCCCACCCCTGATCAGATGCTCTCCTGGCGGGTGACAGCATGACTCTGCGGTCTTCGGCGCAGCTCCTCCTGCGGGCGGCAGAAGCCTCTAGACAGATGAGCCATGCTAGTGCCATCGCCCCGTCCGCCCAGTCCTGCAATCGGCCAGGTGTCGAAGAGCAAGGCAGCTGCTCTCCAAAAAGATGAGAAGGCGAGTCGTCGTAGCTAACAGCATGTCTTGCAAGAGCGCATGAATTGAAGTCCTCGATCTCTGCTCTGCTCTACTTTGTGGCGTGGGTTTGCTGTTGTGCCCAGCACAGGTGACAAGCACGGACAGCTGCCAGAGCCGCTCACGCAGCCCTCGGCGTAACATGCCCGATGGTATCTTGAGCTCTTCTTGGACTCGAGAATACTGGTCCCTGTGCAAGCAGGCAGATTCAACAACGTGAGAGTTCCTGGATACGCGGCGGTGCGTTCACTATGAACTGTGCCAGCACGTTTGCAGTGGGTGTCAGGATTGTCAAGCTTAATATTAAGTGCGAGGGGAGCAGCGCAGAAGGGTGGCCAGGAGCTGTCAGACTCGGAGCTGACACAGACGAGACGTCTGTAACGACTACAGTTCAGGTCTTCCTTGCTATAGCCGAAAGCTGGGCAGGTCGTTCCGCTGTGCTCGGCCGTGTCTCTCCTCTTCCTCACGGAGCTTCGCTCCATGCAGCGGGTCGTGGAATCGCTCGGCGATGCCAGCCCCTTGGATGATTCTGAGGCTTCAAAGCTTGTTCTGTACCCCGAGCCCTATGTAGGAAAGTCCGATGGTGCCTCAGTCATTGAATGGGTGGAATAGGGATGCAAAGACTAAGATGCCTCCAGGTGTTGAATTAAAGAGTTCTGCGTTGTGAGCTAGACTCCCGCTCCACAACGGCCAAAGGCCCCGAGACCCTAAGCCCCACTTTGCAGGAATGGCGCAGTACTTCTTCAGCGAGCCGCACAAGGAGCTGCAGCCCTCCGTTGAGGTAGCCAAGCTCTCGTCCGGAGAGTGGCTGAAGGAGGTGGGAGTTTCAGAACACGGGGGACCCTACTATAGAACCCCAGAATCACAGGATCCTTTATTCTAAGGACCCCTGAGAAAAGTCAGACTCGCAGGTGAGGGGCGACCTCTCCCTTGCCTGGCTGCAGGCCGGACAGAAAAAGGCTCAAAGTCTTTACACCCTTGGCTATCCCTTGCTTGAAGCAGCCGCAGCATGCCACCATCATCTTCATCATTATCGTAAGCATCATCAGCATCATTATCAACGTCATCATCATCATGTCATCATCGCCGTCATAGTCATAGTCAATCACCATCACCACCACCTTGGCTATGGTCATGACGATATTCATGATGAGCACGCTCATCGCCAGTGATCACCACAAGGCTTAGAATCATCATTACCATAGTCGCCCTCATCCTCCTCGTCCTCCTGCTCCTCATCATCATCACCACTATCACTGGTCCACGGCCGCCATAGCTATCGTCGTCATCTTATCGTAAACATCATGTTCGGTTTCTTTATTACCACAGGTCGACATCCTCAGTATAATAGCTTTATATCGGGAAGCATCCAATGTGTGATCCGATGATGCACAGGGCTTCTATGTCTTGCAGCTGGTGGAATGGTATCTGGCAAGGTGTTAAAATGATGGTAACGATTGTTACTTGTTATGTTTGTTGGTCCAGAAAGTACCAAGGTGGACTGGCAGGGCCCCCTGTTGCGGATCACACGTTCGCTGGACAGTGGTCTCGGGCCGGCCAGTCACTCGCAGCTCGTGTCCCAGCAGGTCCGAAACTTACTGGCTTGTGCTCGTGAAAACTCGTACTAAGCCTCCAAGCCCCTTCATGTGTTAATCTATGTTTCCTGTCGCTGTTCTCAACCCGTCCCCCCCAGCGTGGTAGGGGGACGTCCCGCAAAGCATGGGGGATGGTGCAGTGTTCGTTTTCGTCATAGTAGCTGCAAGGACCTCGGATTATATACTACTCTTCTCATTGCTATCTTTCTTCATGCTGATCTGGTGCTATCATGCGCAGTATCATCTGTCGTCGGTGGAGATCGTGAAGGTAGTAAGTGGAGCAGGACACGCCACAGCAAGCCGTCGATCGTGTTGCAGAAGCAGAAACAGGAGCAGGAGGAGAAGTCGCAGTCGTAGTGGATGCATTATCGGCAGTCGTACTCGTGAATTCGGCTCTAGGAGAGGTGCTGGCAGGAGCAGCAGGATTCACCAAGCGAACCTCTGCATGGACTGGAACGATAAGCATATTATAATTAGTAGCTCTATTCGAGTGTTCAAAAGACCACGAAGGTTGACAGTGTGAGAAGCAAGAATCAGAAAGAGGCCAATAGTTAACGCGAGATACATCTTTGCAGGAAGAATGCACAGCAGCATAAACGACAGCAGCAACAAACAGCAGCAGCAACAGCAACAGCTCGACCGCCACGGCAGCAGCAACAGCAGCACTGTCGCAAGGGCACCGGCAGCAACCACGGCCACAGGACAAAGTCAACAGCATCGAGTCTACGAGCATACCCGATGACCTTCATGGTACAACATGTGAGCTGGAACAGCTGAGGCCTTCAGCTAATTGGGTGGTTGGCTTGTTTAGCTTCGCATAATGCTCAAATCCCGAGTTGCAATCACATGCTCAGTCAAGGCCAAAACCCACACAGTTTAGGGTTTAGGGTACAGTTGAATTGCAGGTTCTTGTTCCGCACGGTCTGCTCCCGTGCCTGCAGGACAGCAACTGGCAATCATCACATAGAACATTTTTCGAGAAGCGGGTAATAGTGCTGGTAATTGTACTAGTAATAATAAAAACACAGTAAACAGTAATAGTCGTGGTAATGGTGAAGGGTATACTGGTAGTCATACAGAAAGTGATGGTGATGGTGGTAGTGACGGTGATGTTCATGGTAATGATAATGGTAATGCTAATGTTAATGTACTAGTACCAGTAGCAGTACTACTGCTAGGAGTAGCGATAGTACTAGTCGTAGTAATAGTAAGGGTCAAGCAACAGTAGGAGCAACAGTAGCCCTTATAGTAACCTTTACAGACCCCTTCAAAAGGGGAACCCTTATAGTAACCCTTATAGACCCCTTTAAAAAGGAACCCTTATAGTATAGGTAATTCTTAAGGCCCCTGTAGGAGGAGCTCCGCAGCCTCCATGCGCTCAACGGCCAAAAGATCCGCGAGCTTTGGCAGAGGGACGACAAGGGCTCCGAGGCAAGGGTTAAGGGTTTAGGCGTTTAGGGTTTAGGCGTTTCGGGTTTAGGGGTTTAGGGTTAGGGGTTTAGGGTTTAGGGTTTAAGGTAAGGATGTAATGAATCGTTTAAAGCTTCACAGTAAAGGCTTCTTTTTGGGTCATGGTTCAGGGTTTCAGCGTTTTGGGTTTAGGGATTACGGGCTTCGTGGTCTACGGACTGGGGTTTAGGAACTTTAGTGCTGAAGGCTTTAGGATTTAGGGTCTTTCAGTATTCACAATGAGCCTTGTCCTCATACTTCCGTGAGCGATGCATTCGCCTGCAAGCTCCTATTGTTCTGATGCGGTCGGGTCTACTGTCTAATGTTGCCACTGTTGTCGTCGTTGTTGTTGTCGTAGTAGACGAAGTAGTAGTGGTGGTGGGTTTAGGGTTTAGGTTTTAGGGTTTAGGGCTTAGGGTAGGAGGAGGAGGAGTAGTAGTAGTGGTACAAGTATTAGAAGTCGTGTTGTGGTGTTTTTTGTTGGGTGGTGGTGGTGATGGTGACACCTGCTAACTTAGCATGTTGACAGCGATGACGATCATCATCATCATCATCATCATGCATAGTATCATCTGATTAGCAAGCCATTCTTGCACAATGGGAAGATAGAGGTACAAGAATACAACCATTATCGCTATTGGTTACTGGCAGTGATTTGGGGGCCAGCCTGTTGCATAACTACCGCCAGGCAAGCGAGCATTTGGTGTATGTCGTTGCCTTTTGTGCTTGCCTTGTACACCACGGTATTCATCGGTCGCGGCAAGTAAGGCCAGTGCAGCGGAGATGGACATGTTCAGTCAGCAGTCAGCATAAGGGAAACCAGATCTCTCTTCCCTCTGTTCCAGGCTGTTCGGCGCGAGTTCTGGAACAGCCGCAAACGCTTCGACGCCGAGCTAGGGCGGATCGCAGAGAAAGTGGAGCAGGCACACCGAAGCCCAAGCGAACCCTCAACCCTGCACCCCGTAATCCCACAACCCCAAAGCTGTGAAACTTAGCCGCGGAACCCTAAAAGAGATTTGGGCCGTGTCGGATGTCGATATCAAGTTCAGTCTTCAGGACGCGCCTTCCGGAATCTCGTGCATCCTCGTTGGGTTTGTCATGATTATGACACGTCCGGATCCGGATGTGGCTGTCATTGTTGTGCTTCTTTTTGTTCGCGGCTGCATCACGGTTTGTTGGACCCGACAACCCCGAGCGAACAAGCAGCCAATATACGTTCGAGGCAGAATCTTTGCGAAGACAGATACAGCCATGACAGCGAAGCTAACGGAAACAGGGATCTTCCCCAGAATCTCGATTATGTGGCATGGCACTTAGGTATCTAGGGTTTAGCGTGTGGGCGTGAGAATTGTTCTGCTTCCGGTCGTGCACCTCGACTGCCATTGCTGAACTCGTCGATCTCCCCCGTGCTTTGCAGCTGCATGATACCGTCCGCCAATTTCAAATTCGCAAAGTTCTTGCGAGAGGCCACAGGCCCCTCAACCACAAAGCCATCTTCCCAGCCTTCTGGCACCACTTCTAGTACCCTGATGGAGGTATCTCTTTTCGGAAACCCTTAAAGGACACAAGCAACCTTAAAGAAACCCTTAAAAAGAACCCTTTATGCCTTTATCCCTAAAAAGGCACCCTTATAGAAGCCAGTCGCCCTCGCATTCACCCCCGAAGTCGAATTTAGGCTTGAGCGTACATCCTCAATCCTTAGAGGATTTTGGGACTTAGTAGATAAGGTAACTATGGTTATATCTACCAATTAAGGTACCTATAACCCTCCAAGTAAACCCTCATCGCATAAACTCTAAATCCTAAACCCTGTAGATCCCTTGAAGGAATCCTGTAGATCCCTTTAAGGAACCCTGTAGACCCCTTGAAGGAACCCTGTAGATCCCTGTAAGGAGCCCTTGAAGTAAACCCTGCTCAAAGGAGATCCTGGGTCCTTGGCGCTTTTTGCTGGCCCCGTGGCCGCAGTCAGGTCAGGCGCAGCAGACTCTCCTGGCACAGCTGGATGTCTGGATCGAGGAGACGCGTCATAGAACGGTAATCTGCGTTTTGAGTTTGTGTGATAGAAAGGTAACCTGCTGGGGTTTAGTGTCTTGAGTTCCGAGGACCAGAAAAACTTGGAGCAACGATGAATCTGTCCTTCGTAAACGCTGACAGGCCGCAGAAGTTAATCTCGTCGAAAATGGCCGTACCCTTTACTGCAGCCATTCAAGCACCCTTTCAAAGTAACCCTTTTATTGTCACCCTCTTATGGTAACACTTTTAGAAGCCCTTCTAACTGGTAACCCTTACTTGGAGGATCAGGGGACTTAGTAAGTAGGGTTATAAGTAAGGTAACTATAGTCATATCTACTTACAACCCTACTTACTAAGTCCCATGATCCTCTAAGTATGGTAATCCGAGCAGGAGACGGCATCCGCTAGCCACCGAACGCTGCGCAGTGGGCAACGCCGACAGCAGCCGCTGTTGCGACCTGAGGACAGAACTGGGTTTAGGGTTCTTCAGGGCTTTGGGCTTTAGGGGTTATATAAGGAGGGGTGTAGGGTTTAGCGGTTATATAAGGGTGTAGAGTTTGGGAGTTATATAAGGGTGTGGGGTTTAGGCGTTATATAAGGGTGTAGGGTTTAGGGGTTATATAAGGGTGTAGGGTTTAGAGGTTTAGGGTTTCAGGGTCTCAGGGTTCAGGGTTTAGGGTGCAATTCGGGGGTGGTTGGGTAGGGGATTCAAGGATTCAGGGTTCGAATTCTGGAGCTTACAGGGTTTACCTGAAAGCTGGGTTATTGGGGGTAGGGTTTTCGCGTCTGGGGCTTCGGGCTTACTTAAGGTTCGGCCTTCAGAGTTTTTGGGATGCCGGTTTCGTGTTTCGGATTCGTCAGGAAGCATCGAATTCAAGTCAGTCTGCTTCTTCGGCCGCTTCTTACGGGTTATTCTTGTCCTGATCTTCATTATTAATGGGATAGTGCGGTTCTAACTATCACCATCATTGGACCATCCTCAGAGTTGCTCCGCGTAGATATCGTTGTCGATCTGTTTAATGTTGTCGTTGAGCAAGACAAGTCTGTCGCGATCATGGCCACAATCATTGCTACTCCTGGGCTCCTGCGATTACTCAGCTCCTGAGGCCCCAAGCCCCAAAAAGCCGTAAATCGCAGTCTCTTCAAGTCTCAGGCTCGATGAGAGTTGTAGGGTGAACTGTTTCAGGGCTGCGAGGCTTCGATTTCTGGGGGCCGGCCGTGGGTTTGCGTAGGGGTTTCTTGGTTTTGGGCTTGTGAGTTCTAGGCTCTTAGCGATTGGTTTTGGGTGGCATGGCCTATGAGGGTTGTAGAACTTCAGGGTTTGAGGAGTAGAAGGATTTCAGGCATTGCCGAGCTGTCAGAGCTAAGTTTGTAGGATCCAAGGTGTAGGCCTGGGACTGGGAGGCTTGACTCCTGGCTTCGGGGTTCGAGTTGGATGGTCTTCTTCGCATGTGCTGGTGTTACTTTCGTCAGGGTCGCAAGATTGCAGCGCTTGGCTTTCAACAGATGAAGTTTAGGCCTTGCAGCTGCAGGCCTTTGGGGGCTTGAGGGGCCTAATGTGCTCGGGCCACATTTTTCACGCTTCCGGGTGTGCAGGCCCCCTTGCCCTGAAGCCCTGAAGCTTATGCCCTAAACCCTCACAGGCTGGAACAGGAAAAGACAAGCAAACCGGCTGTGAGGGATTTGAGGATTTGAGAGTGTGATTGGTGCAGGGTTTCAGGGTTTAAAGGCTTGAGGCTTTTCGTGAACCATTCTCCCAGCTTATAGTTTTCAACTTTTGCATGTTTCGGTTTGAGCCTTTGAAGCCCTCAACTAAACCCCTGAAACCGACAATCCAACAACCTTAAAGGTCCAACCACAGATAGAAGAGGCAAAACTGCAGCAGAACCCTAAACCATAACCCTAAACCATTGAAGGATGCCCAGCAGCGCTTCCTTCTCGTGACCCGGTGTGGGATTTCCGACCGCGTAGCATCTCCAGGTTTCCGAGTTTGAGGCTTTCCCTTGATTGTATGCCAGAACTTTCAGGTCTTGGGTTTGTAGACCAGGGTCTCTGGGATTTTCGGCAAGAACTTTCAGGTCTTGGGTTTTACAGTCTGGGATTTAGGCTGGGTTGTAGATTCAACCTCCACTGAACCCCGAAGTCCTGCTTCCTGATCTTCGCCTGCAGCCACCAAACCAGGGCCCCAAGCTCACGGCCTCAGATCAACCTTAAACCCTAAACCCTTACCTAGCAAGAAGCCATACAAGATCTCGTCAAGCCAAAGCTTTCAGTCTTAAAGTCCTAACTTTGCTGTGGCGCCAATGCGGCGAACAAGAGGCATACGGAAAAGAGCTGGACGGCCACAAGTCCTAACCCCAGACATTCAAGTTCGAACACCAAAGTCCTAAACTCTACTTCCAAACAGCTTTGCTAATTCAGGCTCCCATGAACCCTACACCCTAAACCCCTAAACCCTAAGCCCTAAACCCAAGCCCTAAACCCAAGCCCCAAGCCTCTAAACCCGTAAACCTCTAGACCCTAAGCCCTAAACCCAAACCCTAAGCCCAAGCCCCAAGCCCTACACCCCTAGAACCTAAAATCCTAAGCCGTAAACCCAAGCCTTAAACCCAAGCCCAATAAATCCTAGACCCTAAGCCCTAAACCCCCAAACCCTTCTGAACCTTTTCGGCCTTGCGGGACCCTTTCAGGCGACTGGAAAAGGAGCTCAACCAAAAAAAAACCCTAAACCCTATAGATCCCTTAAAGGAACCCTTATGGCACCCTTAAGGGAACCCCTAAACCCCCTCAACCTCTGAACCCCTTTTTCCTCGCTTTTTTCAGCAGCCCCGGGGCCGAGGCATTGTTGTTCCTGGAAGCGGAGAAGCTCGAGGTACATCCCTTAAAAGGGATCCCTACACCCTAAACCCTAAACCCTTAAAGGGATCTATAGGGGGGTTCCATGGGACTTAGTACATCCCTCAAGATATAGGGTTTAGGGCTTAGGGTTTAGATTTTGGATTTAGGGTTTAGGGTTTAAGATTTAGGGTTTAGGGTTTAGGGCTTAGGGTTTAAGATTTAGGGTTTAGGGTTTAGGGCTTAGGGTTTAAGATTTAGGGTTTAGGGTTTAGGGTTTAAATTCATCCCTTAAAAGGGATCTATAGGGGGGGTTCTATTATGAGAGGGGTTTTAGGGTCGACTTAGAGGATCATGGGACTTAGTACGTCGCTTAAGATTTAGGGTTTAGGGCTTAGGGTTTAAATTTTAGATGTAGGGTTTAGGGTTTGAGATTTCAGTGGTTGTTCGTCGGATGCTTGCAATGGGTTACTCAAGATTTGGGTTTTTTCGTGCTTGGTGTGGTTTGTGTCCCTCTGCGTTCCCCTTTTCGTGTTTGAGCGTCTTGGCAAGCTCTTCATGGTGGCCTCCGTTGTTTTAGAAATTCTAAAAGCCTCCTCTTGTGATGGTGTGTCGCACGTACGTTCATTGGGGCTTGCTGCAGATTTCGGGACTTGTAAATGCCCCTGGCTCCAAGCGAAAACTTCCATTCCCGAACCCGAACCTGAAACCCGGGAACCCGGAAGAACCAGAGTGACATGCTCCGCTCTCTTGCAGGCAGGTGAGATAGCGACGGTGCTGGAGGCACGGAAAGGGAGCCTGGGTCATGCTGCGGTCAGACGGTCAGTCAGGACCCTTCGCGCAGTCCATGTAAGCAGACTTGGCCGCATGGCGAGGGCACGGAGACTTTGCTGGGTGACATTTGTAGAACACAACCCCAAACTCTCTGCTGCAAACCGGGGACTTCTGGACTTCTCGTTTGCAAAGTCTTGGTAGTAGGACATGGATTAGGCAAGCCGATTTTGAAAGCAGTTTCTCCAGTGGTCTTGGACTCAACACCCTAGACCCGCATAGCCAGCATGTGAGAGATTGCCCCGCTGGTCGTTGTCAGGCATTCTGGCCCGGTAACAGCTCCCAGCTGCGGCGCACCGCGTCATCGTTGAAGAGG